GGAATCAGATCGAAATCGAAGCGACCCCATCGCGCAGGAATCCAGACGACGACCGTGCAACACTGACACTGATGCCCCTGACCAGGACACTCCAGCTTACGTAGACGAGCGCGCTCCACTACTCGCAAACTAGCTACTCGCAAATGGCCTGGATCCGCCACAGGGGATCTACGATAAAATACATCAAAGCAAACATTTGTTTTTTGGAAGTTTGCGAGTAGGTACTTTGCGAGTAGTGGAGCGCGCTCGGCGACTACGGGTGCCCTGGGAAACATACCGCGAAGGACGACGAGGCGGACGACAATGCCCAGGGGCGTCCCAGACGGCTCCTGGGGGCGTCCCGGGCGGCCCCCAGCGGCGTCCCGGGCAGCTCCCGAGCGGGCGTCCTGGGCAGCGTCACGGGCGTCCCGAGCGTCCCGGGATCGTCCTGGGCGGGCCCGGGCGGCCCAGGCGGCCGAGGCGGCCGAGGCGGTCCTGCCAGCACCAGCAGCACCAGCAGCAGCACCAGAGGCCAGGGCCGAGTCCGGGGGCCCAGCATCGCGGTGCAGAGTGCACGGGGAGGAGCGGCAGGAGGCACAGCAAGAGCACTCCGGCGGGTGCCCGGGACGCCGCCAGCGGCTCCCAGGAACGCAGCGGCCGCCTGGGACGCCGGGGACGCTGCCTGGGACGCCCGCCCGGGACGCTCCCGGAGGCCGCCCGGGAAGCCGCCAGGGACGCCCGCGGGGGCCGCCCCCGACAGGCCATGACTTCTTGGCAAGCCCGAAGCGAGCGTCCGGAATGAGCAAGGAACGCCCGGGACGCACGCCCGCGGACGCCTGCAAAGCCGCCCGGGACGCCGCCGGGGGCCGCCGCCTGGGACGCCGCCGGGGCCGCACGCCAGGGGGCCGCCGGGGGACCCCCCCGCGGGGAAGAGCCCAGGACGTCGCCGGAGGCGGACGCCCGGGACGCGGCCCGGGACGCCCCGGGCGCCCGGACGTCGGGCGGCGCAGACGCCCCCGCGCAGACAGGAGAAGCGAATCCAGAACGCAGAGCTTTAACGTGTTCTCCTTTCCACAAGCGACTTTCACTACTCGCAAAATAACTACTCGCAAATGGCCAGGATCCGCGGGGGGGGTACGACATACTACATCGAGGGATATATATATATATATATATATACATACATATATATATATATACACACACACGCATATACACACACACACACACACACACACACACACACACACACATACGCATATACACACACATGTGTGTGTGCTTTTCGGACGCTCGCGAGTAGGCACTTTGCGAGTAGTGGAACGCGCTGCAGAACAGCTACGGAGGGCTTCCCGCTGAGGCTGGGGCGCGATCGCATCTCAACTCACCTGTAGGATTGCTTGCTCTGTCTTGCAGGGCCGAGGCGCTGCCCAGGGCTCCCCGGGAGCTCCGGGGGCGCCTCCGGCGGCGGCGGCGGCGGCGGCCACGGCACGGCAGCGGGGGCAGCGAAGCGCCGCGCCCCGAGCCGTCGAAGAAGCCACCCCGGCTGGGTCGGGCGCCAACGGTAACGACGGCGACGTCGACGACGCCGACGCCGATGCCGACAACGACGACGACAGTGGACGACGGACGACGAATGCGGGCGACGAATGACGGACGACCGAGGGGACGGAGGAAGTACTTCTTCCAGAGGAAATGTTCGAATCTTATCGATTCGACTTGTCGAACTACGGAAAGATCGTATCTGCCCCCTGCAAGCTGGAGCGGTAGGGTCACAGAGTGGATTTCGAATCGGATCTATCGAATCGAAATGATTCCTGGACGCCCAAAGAGGGCTCCACGAGGCCCCGAAAGAGGGCCCCAAGAAGCCCAAAGCATTGATTTTCCCGAATTGGGTAAACGAAATTCTTGTTTTTGGCTTTGCGGGTTCCGACGCTCCAAACGGCCCCAGAGGCCCCCAAGAGGGTACCCAGACGGCCCGACAGGACCCAAAGACGACCCAAGAGGCCCCCAAGACGGCCAGGACGGCCCCAAGAGGCTCCAAGAGGGCCCTCTCAGGGCCACGAATTCCTTGTAAGATACGCTGAATGCGCGCTTCCAGGGCGACGATCCCTTGCAAATCACGCTGGATCCGCGCTCCCAGGGCCACGATCCAGAACGGCCCAAGAGGCCCCCAAGACCCAAGACGGCCCCAACAGGACCACAAGCCAGCCCAAGAGGCCTCCAAGACGTCCAAAATGGCCTCCAAGCTGGCCCTGGAGCACCCCAAGAGGGCCCCAAGCCGGTTCAGAGAGGCCACCAAGACAGCTTCCGACGGCGTCAGACGGGCCAGGAATGCCCGAAGATGGCCAAAGAGGCCCCCAAGAAGCCTGCAAAGGCCCCAAGAGACCCCCCAGAGGCCCCCAAGAAAGCAAGCAGGTCCCCAAGATGCCTCCAAGAGGCCCCCAGGAAGCTCCCAGGAGGCGCCAAGAGTGCCCCCAAAGGCTCCCAAGATGCCGCCTCCTCCTCCTCCTCCTCCTCCTCCTCCTCCTCCTCCTCCTCCTCCTCCTCCTGCTATTCCCCGCCATCCTGCCCCAAATGTTCCCCGAAGGGTTTCCACAGCGGCTGGGTGAACAAGTGGCCCGACAGCTCAGCAGAGCTCCGGCACCAACGTTCGGCCACGTGGGCGACTCGAGAAGGCAGGAGGCGGCGGCGATTCGCCGCAGACGTCTTCGATCCGTTCACAACTGCTCTTCGTCATCTCTTTCCTCCGCCTTGTCATGATGTTAGCCCTCCTCCCCCGATTGGAAGAGCAACAGAAGGAGCAAGACGCGGTAAAGAGCAGCGTGAAAACCAGCCACTGACAACAACCAGCAAGGCTCAGCTCCTCACGCACATGAAAAGTACAATTAAAAACACAAGTCCCTCGTTACAGGTTCTCCTCAAAAGATTGGGTATGCTTGCGAATCGCTCTCAATGGGATCTTGATATAAACCATCCAATACACGTGCGTTCCCTGCTCCCCATTGCCTTTCATGACTGGTGTAAAACATCTGCACGTAGACAGCATGCTTGGATGAGGGTACTCCAGCCGGAGTGTTACGGGTGACTATGTTTTCCGACACGAAGCCCTTCTTTACTGTTCCCAAGCCCATGTTTAAGGTGGAGGGGCAAACGAGGCAACTTCACTCTTCGCTCATGAATGTACACTTTTAGGCGAGATGTGCCTCGCGCAGTCACAACACGTGCACCGTCATCGCCGTCAACGTACAAGCCCCAGCGCACTGTGAAAACGAGAACACGCAGGCCCCAAGACAGCCAACGACCTAACATAATCCCACCAGTGGTTTAACGAGTTTTGTCTTCTCTCCCCCTCCTCCCCCTGCTCGGGGGAGTTTACCCCTCCATCTACCCCCTCCTCTGGGGCTGCCTGGGGGAAGCGGGGCCGGGCGGGTAGTTAGGGTTTCCAGATGGGCCCAAGATGGGCCTAGGAGGGTCCTCGGCAGCCCAAGACGACCTCAAATGTGGGTCAGAATAGCCGAAGATAGCCCCCTACACACCTCCAAGAGGCCCCAAGACAGCCCCAGGACGGTTCCGAGTGCCGTTCGAGCCATCCTACGCACCCTCCGAGAGGTCCAAACCCTTCAAACACCAAAGGCACATCCATGTGGCTTGCCTTCTCGCGTTGTCGCGCCCGATGGGCTTGTAAGGGCTCAAGATGGCCCCAAGATGGCCCAAGAGAGCCCCAAGAGAGCCCCAAGAAGGGCTCAAGAGCGCCAAAAGACCCCCCCTTCTTTTCGAGCCATGAGGGCCAAGAGGCCTCCAATGAGCCCCAACACGAGCCCCAAGATGGCCCCACGAATGCCTGTCAGAGGCCCCACAGAGACCCCAAGAGAATCCCTAAGATGGCCAGACTTGTCCTTCAAGAACCTCTCACAACTACATATCTCCAAAGCCCGACTTCTCATCCTCCTTGTCATTGTCCGTCATTTCCCTCCTCCATTCCTAACTCCTCCCTCTTCGTCCTGCTCCTCATCTTCCTCGTGCCGCATTCCTCCTCCTCCGCCTCTTCTTCCCCCTCCGTCTCCTCCTTCTCTCTTGATCCTCCTCCTCCTCATCATCCTCCTCCTCCCCATCCCCCATACCCCCAATGATCCCAGGAGGTCGCGCAAGTATCACGATAGCCTCCGACAGACATCCAAGAGGCCTCAAGGCAGCCTGAATATGGCCCAAGGTAGCTGAGCAAGGCTCAGGATGGCCTCCGACACCCTCTAGCCGAGCATGGCTCCAGATAGCCTCCAAGAGGCCTCAAGAAGGCCTCCGATCGTGTCTGAATGGGCTGGTGGGGATTCGCGAAACTTTAAGAATTACGTTGGTTAGCGGTGTTGAAGTCCCAGGGAGGGCGTGCTGGCACGACTCAGGATCGTCAAGACGCAAGAGTCACGTTGATTCGTGGCGTTGGAGTCCCGACAATGGTGTTGTGGCGCGCTTCGGGGTCTTACGTTTGTCTCCCAACAGGGTACTTCCCTCTGTGGAAATGAACCCTTGTAGGAGCCTATGAAGAGGAAGCTTAGAGGGAGGGTTTACTCCAACATCGTTGACGCGTCTTGGGGTTGCAATGATCCTCCTCTTCCTCTTCCTCCTCCTCCTCCTCTTTCTTCCTCCTCCTCCTCCTACTCCTCCTCGCCACCCTCATCCTTCATGCCTTTCCCTTATGAATAACTTCTCCCTGTCGCACCCGGAGGCCAGTTTTTAGGCCGGGCCGGGCGTTTCGACTGAGACTTGCTCATCACGTATGACCATGAAGCTTAAAAGTTAGCAACAGTTTCACAGACCCTGGGCGGGTCTTTTTCAAAATGTGGCTCTCGCCTTAGCGCCGCGCACAGTCCTTTTAACGAATTGCAAGAATTTCACGGGTTGTGGACAAACCGTTTTCAAATTGTGGCTCTCGCCTTAGCGCCGCGCACATTCGTATTCCAAATTCGCCAGAGCTTCACGGATTGAGGGCGGGCCGTTTTCAAAATGTGGCTCTCGCCAAAGCAACTTTTTTGAAAATTTGCAAAAGTTTCACGGATTGAGGGCGGTTCCTTTTCAAATTATCCCGGCAAAGCAACCTAACAGCGATGTGTAGGAGCATATCTGGAAGCATCCCCCTTAAGATTCAGATGAGAATCCAGTTGTAGAGTTCTGCTGTTCTCGCAGTCGTAGTCGCATTCGCGATGACAGTCGCAGTGGCCTGCATTAGCCTCAGCCTCAGCCTCAGCCTGCCTCAGCATCAGCCTCAGCCTCAGCTTCAGCCTGCCTCAGCCTCAGCCTCAGCCTGCTCCTGCATCAGCCTCAGTCTGCCTGCAGCCTCGGCCTCAGCCTCAGCCTGCCTCAGCCTGAGCCTCAGCCTCAGCCTCAGCCTCAGCCTCAGCCTGCCTCAGCATCAGCCAGCCTCAGCCTCAGCCTCAGCCTCAGCCTCAGCCTCAGCCTCAGCCTCAGCCTGCTTCAGCCTCAGCCTCAGTCTGCCTTCAGCCTCGGCCTCAGCCTCAGCCTGCCTCAGCCTCAGCCTGCATCAGCCTCAGCCTCAGCCTCAGCCTGCCTCAGCATCAGCCTGCCTCAGCCTCAGCCTCAGCCTGCCTCAGCCTCAGCCTCAGCCTGCTTCAGCCTCAGCCTCAGTCTGCCTTCAGCCTCGGCCTCAGCCTCAGCCTGCCTCAGCCTGCATCAGCCTCAGCCTCAGCCTCAGCCTGCCTCAGCATCAGCCTGCCTCAGCCTCAGCCTCAGCCTGCCTCAGCCTCAGCCTCAGCCTGCTTCAGCCTCAGCCTCAGTCTGCCTTCAGCCTCGGCCTCAGCCTCAGCCTGCCTCAGCCTCAGCCTGCATCAGCCTCAGCCTCAGCCTCAGCCTGCCTCAGCATCAGCCTGCCTCAGCCTCAGCCTCAGCCTGCCTCAGCCTCAGCCTCAGCCTGCTTCAGCCTCAGCCTCAGTCTGCCTTCAGCCTCGGCCTCAGCCTCAGCCTGCCTCAGCCTCAGCCTGCCTCAGCCTCAGCCTCAGCCTCAGCCTGCCTCAGCATCAGCCTGCCTCAGCCTCAGCCTCAGCCTGCCTCAGCCTCAGCCTCAGCCTGCTTCAGCCTCAGCCTCAGTCTGCCTTCAGCCTCGGCCTCAGCCTCAGCCTCCTGCCTCAGCCTCAGCCTGCATCAGCCTCAGCCTCAGCCTCAGCCTGGCTCTCAGCCTGCCTCAGCCTCAGCCTCAGCCTGCCTCAGCCTCAGCCTCAGCCTGCTTCAGCCTCAGCCTCAGTCTGCCTTCAGCCTCGGCCTCAGCCTCAGCTGCCTCAGCCTCGGCCTGCATCAGCCTCAGCCTCAGCCTCAGCCTGCCTCAGCATCAGCCTGCCTCAGCCTCAGCCTCCTGCCTCTGCCTCAGCCTCAGCCTCAATCTGCCTTCAGCCTCGGCTTCAGTCTCAGCCTGCCTCTGCCTCAGCCTGCATCAGCCTCAGCCTCAGCCTGCCTCAGCTCAGCCTGCCTCAGCCTCAGCCTCAGCCTCAGCCTGCCTCAGCCTCAGCCTCAGCCTGCTTCAGCCTCAGCCTCAGTCTGCCTTCAGCCTCGGCCTCAGCCTCAGCCTGCCTCAGCCTCAGCCTGCATCAGCCTCAGCCTCAGCCTCAGCCTGCCTCAGCATCAGCCTGCCTCAGCCTCAGCCTCAGCCTGCCTCAGCCTCAGCCTCAGCCTCGGCCTGCTTCAGCCTCAGCCTCAATCTGCCTTCAGCCTCGGCTTCAGTCTCAGCCTGCCTCAGCCTCAGCCTGCATCAGCCTCAGCCTCAGCCTCAGCCTGCCTCAGCCTCAGCCTGCATCAGCCTCAGCCTGCTTCAGCCTCAGCCTCAGCCTGCATCAGCCTCAGCCTGAGTCTGCCTTCAGCTTCGGCCTCAGCCTCAGCCTGCCTCAGCCTGCCTCAGCCTCAGCATCAGCCTGCCTCAGCATTCAAAATGTGGCCAGGGAATGGAATTCTGGGAACTCGAAGAACACGAAGTGGCCTACAGTTGGCTCCGGGCATTCAAAATCATACCCAGGAATGGAGTTCTGGGAAGTCGAAGAGCACGAAGTGGCCTACAGTTGGCTCCGGGCATCCAAAATGTGGCCCGGGAATGGAGTTCTGGGAACTCGAAGACCACGAAGTGGCCTACAGTTGGCTCCGGGCATCCAAAATGTGGCCCGGGAATGGAGTTCTGGGAACTCGAAGACCACGAAGTGGCCTACAGTTGGCTCCGGGCATCCAAAATGTGGCCCGGGAATGGAGTTCTGGGAACTCGAAGACCACGAAGTGGCCTACAGTTGGCTCCGGGCATTCAGAATGTGGCCCGGGAATGGAGTTCTGGGGTGTCAAGTACGAGGAATTGTATGACTGTTGCGTCCGGCTATTCCGAATGTGGCCCGGGAATGGCGTTCTGGGAGGTCAAGGAGCACCAAGTGTGTGACTGTTGCATCCGGTTATTCAGAATGTGGCCTGGGAATGGGGTTCTGAGAGGTCGACGAGCACGAAGTGTGTGACTGTTGGTGAAAAACGAGCCCGGCACAG